TGGAGCCCACCGCTGCAGGAAACTGGACTAACTGGCACACCGCCGTCAACGTCTTGGAACCGAACTGAACTGACCTTAACAAAGTGGACTTGACCTTGGAAATTGGGAGAATTTGTATCCGATTGCCAGACGCTGGCTCCTCGGTCTTGTCTCTGTTGTCGCCATGAACGCTAGAGCCTTGCATTACGTATTTAAGATAGGAGACAGACAAAAGTCAATTGAGTTCTTCAAAAATGTTCTTGGAATGAAGGTAAGTCAGATCCACACTGCATGTGGAATTTATCCCTCAAATATAAATATATAAGTAATTTACTGCAATGCGCAGCCCCTTCATGGTCTAATAGAATTTCCAAAGGTTCACTAATAACTATAACATCGTACATTCGGTGATACAGCGTTCCAGTGTTCGCTTATACATAATGAATATAGTCCATGGGCCGTATGTTTGGCGGTAATGTAGTGCACATTCTAGATGAAAACGTTTTACGTATATTGGTTTACTAGTGAATATGAAATATTTTTTAGCGCACGTCACCGTGCGGACCCACCCCCAGGCTCATGACGTTCTTTGTTTCGACTCCGCTCAATTTTCATATTTGTTAAGCGCATTTGCTATAATAGATGTTCGCTTGATTTGAAATAATTATTGTAATTTCGGGAGCAAATGAGCATCTAATCGAGTAGTTTAGTATCCGGTCATTTTGTCGTAATTTTTTACGACATGTCAGGTAGTCCCAATAGGTATCAAGTAATGTCACCAGTCTCAGGTGACTCTTGTGTGTTGTATTTAAAAGGACATGGTTTATTAATGGAGTGAACGTGTTTATGGTCGCCCAATGCACATTCAAGAGTTTAAAAAACAGCCGGGATGTTTGTGTTCCTAATGAATCTAGCGACAGCAGTACGTACCAATGAAGTCGAAGTATTCTGGAGCCGTATACAAAGCGAACTAAAGAATGACACGAAATTTGTCGATGGCATCAGTGTATATCTCGATAATTTTTATCGGTGCAAAATGCATACCGAACACTGGCGCTCAAACTATCGAGAAGCACCTTTGGCGTAGACACGACGTTTAACTAAAGCTGCAAGGTCGTGTATACTGCACCAGCGTTT